TGTACCTTGTACCATCTTTACCTTGTACCATCTTTACCTTGTACCATTTGTACCATGTACAAAGTATTATCATGGATAATATTGTGCGCTTTGATTTTAGTGGATTTATCAGTTAGCCCTCGATCCGCCAAAATAAGATCCACGGGGAAAATCCCGCTTGAAGAAACTTCTTTTAAGCCCCGATTTTAAAAAAGATTGTGTAGCAGGAGCCATTTTAAAAAAAGACTGTTTAGTAGGAGGCAAGGGGAAAGGCTTTAGTTTGATTTTGCTTTTTAGCAGTCAGTCCCCTAGGTCCAATAGGGCTGCCATGTATTGTCTTGTAAGTTGAGTTGATAGAGATCAGTCAAACGTCTTAGAAAGGTAGAGGGTGTTGCAACTCGAGGAGTTCTAAAAAAAACTTAACATCTCCTTCTTGGTCAAAGCCCGGATACTTGAACAGAGGTCGCAAAAATAAGTTAACCTGGGCAGAAACTTGCAGGAAATTTGTTCTTACATAACATAAAAGTATCGCAACTCCGCCAAATCAATATCGATATCACTCTTGCTTTTAGAAGAAAAAAAAAGGAGATGGCTGCAATAATCATAATTGTTATAATCGTAATCATAATCGGGAGGAAAGGAAACATTTAAGAGAACGGTGGCGTCGGAGTAACAGAATCAACTATGAAACTTTTTATTGGTCTGGACATGACTCTTATCCAGTAAGGAGAATACTATGGACGAAAAGTCGACTGAGAAGTATTGACTCCTGCCTCAGCGTGTAGAGCTTCAACTATCCGTCCGAACTTAACTGTACTAACTAAAGTTTGTTATTATTGCAGGTATCCATTGGGGTATATCTATTATGTAAGTGCAAAGTTTGAGATGAATAGCAAAATAATCATTACGACTTTAACACGAGCTATTTCACAATAGCTCCAAGCCTTCAATGCACATTATTACATTCATCTCAATTTTTTTTATTTCTTTACTCTATATATAGTTATATCTTTATATTTTTCAACTACATTGTTCTTTATCCTAAAACCTAAACCATCAGGTTGGTAATCATCAATTTTAGATAAGTATCACTTGCCCTTTGTTTATCATTTTATTTATCTTTTATCGATTGATTGATTTTAGGACCATTGTGCTTATCACAGTATTCTCACAGTACTTAAAGAATGTCAAGATACCTTTTCCTGGTTATTCAAGGGCAAATGGGATGTACAAGGCCAGATTTGCGTTATTCAGAATGTTTCCGGTCAGTTGCAGCATTGTTGATTTGTTTGATTATAGTTTTTATATCTGTCGTGTGCTTGTTGCCATTTAATGGCGATCGAGATCCGAGAAAGCCCCACCTTATTAAAGTTAGTATGATATTGTGAGGATCAGACAGATTGCACCACAAAATCATAACATGTACGTAAGGAAGAACACGGTCCCGAACTCAGCAGATGAACGACGACAAGGCTTTCAACGTTAAATGAGTCGTTATGAAATACAATTCTTAGCTTGATTCAAACTTTAAGTATTTCACTGTCCTTCAACAATCTGAGGTTAGGCTACTGATTTTTTTTTTTTTTAACTCAGCAGGCATTTCTTTCTATCTGTATAAGAAATTGTACCCAGCGCTTACTTGATTATTCAGCAAGAGTAATCGATTTTAATGATAATTTTTTGTGTGTTTTTATATTAGATCCTGCTGGGAATCATCTTATCCTGGATAATTTGTGCCATTGTCACTGCTACTGGTGGATTTACTGACGACCAGAACAATCCACAGTATCAGGCCAGAACAGACGCCAGAATATTTGTGTTGAAAGAGGCAGAGTGGTTTAGATTTCCATATCCTGGTAAGAATATTAAATATCGGTATTATGAAGCGCGGCACTGAACGTCACACACCACAGAGCGTGCATATAAAGTAAAATTGTTTATTCTGACTCCAGTAAGTTATGATGTCGCACAGAATTGTTTATATGACTCCGCTCGTAGACCCTTATCTCAAACTGCCCTTACGCTGTCTCACAAGTAATGTTTTGGTGAATTTCTGGTAGTCTCTCTTTGGAAAGCGAAAGAGAAAACGAAAGCGCAAAGTCCTTAGTTCTGTACATTACTGCGACTATCTTCCTTCAATTAAAATCCTTAGTTCGCATTTCAAAGTTATAATTTGCACATGTTTCAACCTCTCAACCCAAGGTCAGTGGGGTACACCCACTTTAAGTGCTGCTGGTGTGTTTGGAATGCTAGCCGGAGTACTGGCCTCCATGATAGAGTCCATTGGCGACTATTACGCTTGTGCAAGATTATCAGGGGCTCCACCTCCGCCAAAACACGCTATAAACAGAGGTATTGGAATGGAAGGAATAGGCTGCCTTCTTGCTGGGGCCTGGGGCAGCGGAAATGGAACCACCTCTTACAGTGAGAACATAGGAGCGATTGGTATCACGAAGGTATTCCTTAGGTGTCATGTGTTTCATCATTCACCTTGTGTTACAAGGTTGCCTCGTATAGCTTAACATGTCAACGTTGTTCTTTTTCAGGTTGGCAGCCGTCGTGTTGTACAGTACGGAGCAATAATAATGATCCTACTTGGGATACTCGGCAAGTTTGGTGCCTTGTTCACCACTATTCCAAACCCCATAGTGGGTGGAGTATTTATGGTCATGTTTGGAATGATAACAGCAGTCGGTATTTCCAATCTTCAGTTCGTGGACATGAATTCTTCCAGAAACCTCTTTATCCTTGGTTTTTCACTGGTGTTCGGAATGGCGCTTCCCTATTGGTTGTCTCGAGAAGAGAACAGGAACGCAATACAAACAGGTTTGCTCTAATTTCAAGCATTTAAATAGACAGACGTTACCAGTTTGTCCTGTTTGAGTAAGCGATTTTAAAACTCCACTTATCAAATAGTATTTATATTATTTCCTAGGTGAACCTGAGCTTGACCAAATCATTACTGTGTTGCTACGAACCAACATGCTGGTCGGTGGAATTACAGGTCTTTTACTTGACAACACAATTCCAGGATCACGTGAGGAACGAGGCATGCTGCAATGGAACAATGAGACGGGACAAACTGGTGACGGTGAAAATCATGTTTATGATCTCCCATTTGGTTTGAAAAAGTTGAGTTTTTACAAGTGCGCTAAATACGTTCCATTTCTGCCCTATGATAAAAGCGACGCACCATCCGTAGAATTAAAAGAAGTATCAAAAAAGCCTGTTCATCTCTCAGCAGTTTAGTGCGACAGTTTCATTTGTTGAGCAGGATTCATTTTTTAATAAGCTTGTATTACCATGACTGGAAGAACTCATTTACTAAAAATGGGTCAAACCTCTGTTATTAGCCATCAACTATTAAGTGCACACTTGCTTTTGTTCAAGTTTTCTGCCAGTTTATTTTGTAAACTTTCAAAATCGCTCTTATGTAGCGGCAGCCGATCAGACGCGCTTGAACCATCACGGCGTAGAAATGCTGTATTTCGAGACATAGACAATGATAGTTTCTGTGTGTTCGAGGCTCTCTTACCTTAGTGAGTTCATAGCATGATAGAGAAAAGCAAAATAAATCAATTACATAACGAAATCTCGTGTTCTACTTGGCTTGTCCAGAGTTCTAGGGGAAGAAGGCAACTTGACCACACATTTTAGAGAACATGAGAGAAACCAGAACCGGAAAGATGAGGGAACATGAACACCTCCACAAAAGTATCCCCCCCCGCCACACGCACACACACACACACACACACACACACACACACACACTCACACACTCCCTCTGAATCATATTCCTCACGAAAACTTAAAATCTCTCTTGAAATAGGCCGGTTTATCTTCAAAATAAAGTTCTCGACTAAATAGTCAGTTCACCCTCCAACAATTTGTTCCGTCTGCTCTCCGCGCAGGCAAAAGGTTATCTTTCAAACGAAGGTAATAAAGACTCAGCTAACTGCTTCACTATCTTTATTGTTTTTAAAGGAAAAATTTCTCGGAAAAGCTGTATGCTCCGTGACATTTAGTAAACTCAGAAAGATGAAAATCAGTTTCTATTGTTTAAGGCAAAACTGAGCGAGTGTGTCATGATGTCGTAAGGAAGAGATCGGGGACTAGATCTGAAACCTGTCGTCACACGTAGAATGTTGAACTCTTTTAGAGTTTCGTTTCTCACGACAGCTATTTAGTCAGGAAACAAATTCATTTCTTTA